CGTTTCCCGTCCATCCGCAAAACGGATTCACTTTGCTCTCACGTTTTCGATAGACGAGACGTTGAGATTTCAAGTCACTTTGTCTGGTTTGTCCCATTGTTCGAGATGAAACATAGATTACCAACATCGCTGCATACAATTACGCTGAAACGTATAGCAGAACACTGGCAGTCATGGAAACCGATTGCCTTACAGGACTCACTCTGGTTCGAAAAGTCTAAAGACCCTCACTCAAACAAATGTCGAATGACATTCAGAATATCACTTGTATCGGTTTTCCACAAAACCCTGTCCTCTCATGGGATACAGCCCCACAAATGTTGTGAAAATCAATTCAAATGATACATCGCACTATGTTTCACCCGCACATCAAAGCCACCGCACTCTTCCTACGTCAGTGTGTCGGAACGTTTTGATTTCGAGCAGGCTAGTAGTGTATTGAGTGGGCTCATGAAGGTAATCTTCAAAAAAAAACATTTTAGAGAAACACTGCAACATCAAAGCAACCTTATCAATATGACTATGTGCCAAACAAAAAGGACAATGGTTGTTCATTTAACACTATTTCATGCCATCTCACTGGTTCGAACGTAATTCCGTATACCTGTGTTTATAGGTCGATGAAAACACACCTTTAACGAATGGGCTCTTGAAAGAGGGTTTTGATTGTCACCGTCTAGTGTCTGAGGTCGATTCGATCCAAGCTATGTAATAAGGATAATAGGTGACGAACATTATACCGGATGACTCGTTGCGTCATTTATTTTGAAGTGATATGTCTAGTTGCGCTCGTCATGCCAGACGGTTTTGCTAAGCGACGCAAATACGCACCGTAGCCACGTACATTTTCCTTCGTAACATCCACATGCGCAGACAATGAATTTTCACACATTTACTGTGACCCACCATAATTTGGTCTTGACTATGTTTATGAGGGAGCCCATGGTGTATAAGCTAAACCGCAGATGATGAGAAAATAACCGTACGAAGGAACTTGATGAGAGTTTTTTGGGGCTTTGGAAGGTGCATGTGCCGTTGTGGTGAATTCCGGTAAGGCTAGTATTACTGTATAAAGATATTCCAATCATTCTGAGGATGATTTCGACTGTAAATATCCATGAAAGGGGTATAAATATTGAGTCCAATTACGAGAGAGTCTCCATCCTCTGAAAGGGCAATTTTTAGTAGTAATATTCTTCACTGAAAACTAATTTCCCATGAAGGCGTTCCGCCTCTCAGTGCAACCACAGCTTCGTCTATTGTTTCTGGGTTTACGTGATTCCCCTTGCACTTGGTTACAGACATTACAAGGATTGGCTGGTCGATGTCAGCGGCGTTTGTACTCTCCGTTTCTTTATACATCACACTATCGAGTGGTCGGAGGTATAGGCACCTCAGAATGTTTGCGGTAGGCTAGCAACAGGTTCCTCTGTCAACCACAGTTTTCAGTTTAGGGCTTTAAGTATGATTAAATAAAACTTTGTCGTTTTGCAGCAGTGATGCATCAGTGTCAACACTAATATGATTTCTGATATACACGCTCGAGATGTGAACTATATAGATACACCAGCACCAGCCTTATTTGTATATCAAGGCCTATTTATGTCTATCAGAAAGAAGCATCTCGTGTTAATGCCATTTACTGCCACGTCATCAGTTACTTCGGAATTCATATTCCATGTCTGTTACATTTGTAAAAAAAAGTCGAAAGTTCTCGGACTGACGGTGCATCATTTACTTAAACTATTTTAATAATTCACGGAAGAATAGGTTCAGCGGTGCTTAGGACCAGTCACATAAAACAGTACACTAGACATGTGATAATTTACCTATTTGATCGTTGCGAAAATTCGCATAATATTCAAGCCAAAAAGTTTACTATGATCAACAAACTCCAATGAGTGATACTTTGTTTCTAGAACTTCCTTTGTACTTTACTAGAAGTATGCATATCTAGTTGAAGTGCCTGCGGTAATTGTCTGTTAATTGTAGGCACTTCGATGACATAAATTCATCTTTCCAGTGGTAGAGGTGACCAAGCTTTCATTAGGTGACTGTTAGACCAAAGTTCGACGACCAACGTTCGACGAAATGACCATGCCCCAAACGGTAGGGGTATTATGGGCAGAGTGTCACAAAAATCTAAACAGGTCAGCCATGTACAGCGATCACGCAAGCTGGAGAAAATACGACCAACAGACTGGGTGCCATTTCCCAAGGAATGCTATGTGAGCAGGCGTAGACGGCTTTGAAGGATGGAAGTTGGCGAATAACATCGCCAAATTAACCTCAAGAATATGGATTATGACTTAAATAAACTTCGTTTTGATAAAGGAAATTACTCACAAGGTTGCTGAAAACTCTTGGACAGCCCACGACCGGTTTCGCCCTTTTGGGGCTCATCAGGTAGACGCAGTCCCAAATTGAAAACCAAATTGATTTGCAAATGAGTGTATTTCTCGAAAACCTTCGTTTTGGTTCAATCGTCATGGCAGGCGGTGCTTATGGACTCCGAAAATGACTAAACCGTTGGTCCGATTTCAAATGATCATAGTTGTTTGAGGTCTCATTTGACAGAACATATGGAAGAGCATTTCTGTTGATCATTATAGTATAGTTGGAAACGGTGAACTTGCTCGAATGCATGATTGATCTGACATAAGTCAACTAGAATGGATTGCAATATTGTTTCCAGTTTCCCAACCAGATTGGTCACCGCAAGGAAATGCCCGAGTAGTTATATGTTGACGGTGACCACACAAAGGATAACTGTCATTACCAACAATCGGCGGGAGATTTGTTCGTAAATCGTCCAGTTTATAGACGCAGTAATTTCTCGTTCGTTAATCTGGTTGGAAAGGGTGTTATTACAGGGTCTTTAACGCGTTGTCACCAGTCCTTTGCTCGGCTTCGAAGGTTCGAATAGAGGTTAAAGACTTGGAGACTCACCCCTTAATATCCCAAGATTTTTCATCACTGTGATCTTATTTTTTTAAAAACTTATTACTTTCCTTACAGTTTGATCGTGCTATCTTTCCTTGATACGGAGCATTTTCATCGAAAAACCCTCATAAATGTATGCGACACGTAACTGGTCAAGTGAAGTTAGCGTGAAATTCTGTACAGATCAGACGAATCAGTGAATTTGTTGCAAGTACTGAGACATCCTCAGTTGCACTTCGGTCTTCCGTAGTCGTTGCACTGCCCGGGACCCACTCTCGTAAAAATCATTCTCAAAAGATGCATATACAATACTTCATAGTCCGTTGCGAAGTCTTCGTGCTCAGACATGTGGTCAGTTATAAGCACGAAGGTTACTGTGAAATCAACTGTTTTTTAAGGTTTGCTACGACAGAAATGCGGACCATTTTCATTCTATTGGTTTGTACAAAAAGCGTTGTAAGGGCTGAAATCTTCCCCTATACTTTGGTCCTAGTTTTACTGACAACGGAATTTATGTTGCTTTGCAAGCGGTGCATTAATTGGAAAGAAGTTGAAAATCCATACAACAAATAGGGATGTCGAACAGCAAGTGAGTCACGTTCTACCGAGAGCTTGCAACAATGTTCTCTTTTGGAAAAAAATCCCCATACAAGGAAAGTTTTTTTAAATTTTTTTACTATTCAATCTTGTCTAGAATGAATAACTCGTACCCAGAAGTGGTCAACTTGTGTCTATCCTAGCACAGGTTCCAAGAATATTGTCAGCTCTATCCGGCCAAAACGGTGCTATTCGGTTTCTGTTCGACTGTTCTGGGCAAGATTCAATAGTAAGTACGTCGAAATCATAGGAAACTCTTGTGAGGACTCCATCCAAAGGAGTACTCTAAGAAGGGGGTGTGGAAACATGATATCTTTGCTGTTAGAAACGCCCCAATTTTTTACTGAAATCTCAGAAAACGCCAAATAAGGAGAGCATCCGATTAATGCCTGGCTTTACGAAATCGTGGCCGCTCAGTACTAATCAATAGAAAACTTGACTCAATGATACCTGAGTAATGCCTGCTTCTAAGGCACATTCCAGTAGAATCACTTTCACATCTCATTCGAGTGGGCAGGAACAGTTTACCTCACGTATACCAGCCGTGTTAACCGAACGGCGAAGAGTCAGGACAGCTGATAACTGCGTTATTTCAGATCCATGTACAACTGGACTATTTTGGCAGAAAGGACACCTCCGGAGTGTATTCGTACAAACCACCGGCTTAGCTTGCGGACACCGGTGATAGGTTCGGAAAAAGAGCAGCGCGAAAACGCAGACCGTGACGGCAACAATCGACGCCATTCACCAAATGCAATTACCAGCAAAAACCTGTTTTAGCCAGCTGACTTGGCGAAAGGATTAGAGCGAGTAGTGTCAAGTTCGAATACGAAAAAACAATAGATCTAGCAACCTTAGGTACAACCATGCGCGGACATCGCAACAGCCGGCCTCGTGGGTGCACTCTCGGAGGGAAACGCAGATACACTGAAGTCCGCCTGCCACTGGGGCCGTACCTGTCCTACCGGTGTTTTCCAGATCACGTGCTCGCTGCCAGTGAAATGTGTGCAAATGGACCACATACCCCCACTTCCACGGAGTTCATCGCACACGTGTGCGCTTCAAACAGTAAACTGAACGATTGGGAAATCCTCTTGCTCATCCAGACCAAACAGAGAAAGAACACTGTCAGTTTCGTTCAAACGAATTTTTTTGCTCAGAGAAACATAGATATTGGATGGGTAAAAATATTGACAATAAGAACTGAGTACAAATTATGAAGTATATGAAATGTTTGTATCTGTAATTATAACTAGTGTACCTTGGTAGAAAAAATATGTAAAGAAATGCACACATTGGAGATCGTGTCCATAGATGGGAAGCTGGTGTTTCTTGGAAAAGAAGGCTATCTTTGACCACGCTAGGTCGTTTCGCCAGTTAGTCCCTGAACTGTGAGGTGTGTCTGCTTGTCTCCCATAACAAAAGAAAGCAAAAATAGACGGCGATAACAATCAGGCTGATTAGAAATGGTAGTGGGTGAATCTGGATGGGACACCGGAAGAAAGTATTGCGGTAGAAAGTCCCACATGCTCTGCAGCTTCTAGTTGCCCATTACCAAACTGCAAGTTCAGTCCAGAATCAGTAGAATCCAGGCCGAATCGATTATGAATCGGAGTTCCATGGTGTGTTTGCTGTTGACGGTTGGATGAGGTGTCGATTGTGCTGTAACTGAACTGACTGTCAGTGTACATTGTGTCGAATATCGATCCGCTACCGAGTTCAGCATGCGTTTCTATCGGACCCCCTAGCCTGTGAGAAACCTGAATCGTATCACATCCCTGCCGATCAGCCGATACAGGATTTCGCCAAGAGTGATTAAATCGACCCGAAAGGTTGGTGCTGTGTGTCTGTGTAGAAAATCCTTGACTAGGAGGGTTTAAAGCAGCAGAATGAAAAGGATCCATTGTTCCCGCCGAAATTTCTGGAGTGAAAAGATTGATCTTGACTTCGATGGAGTCTGTAGGCTTCAGGGAATCTTGCAAAATCCCCGGAATATTGAAATCTACGTGTCCATTACGGAAGCCTTGAACAAATACTCCCGGGAATTCCAGCTTTTGTTGACCAGTGATTGTTGTCGGAGCCACTCGACGGAGACGTCCCATGGGAGGCTTTTGTGGTCGTGAGGTACCTCGTTCATCCAGGGACAGTTCCATGGCGTGACTAGCCAGCTCATCCAATTCGAATATATTATGTAATTCATCCCTTCCCGGATGAGCTTCGGAACTGTCGTCTCCGTCAAGTTCAGCGGTCCAAAATGGTGTCACCTTTGAATTGATTTGCATAGATGGCAAGGTTTCTGAGGGAAAACAGAAAATGACGCATAAGAACAGGTGAAGACATGGGAAAGTGGACCAGAATCCAAATATAGGTTTGTTTTCTAATTTGAAGGGGTCTTGGATAATTCAACTCAATCAGTAAACCAGTACACCAAATACAGGAGAACAAAAGCCTCTCAGTGAAGGGACAGCAAATAGAGCTTTCTGCGAACCCCATCAAATCACGGTGATCCAGGAACAGCATGCTGGTTGGAGGTCACATAGCTTCACTGTTTGAACTGCTGTCCCGAGACACTCCGAATCGGCCCTACACTAAACTTAGTAGGTAAACAGTATTTCGTGTGTGCTTTTATTCCTTAACATCGTTAAGAACATGCGGCAGTCAATATCAAGTCCCAGTTACAGGTTCAAACCATGGGGCGGCCTGTTTACACTGTTCATCTTTCCAATCTGCGAGTGAGTTACTCGATAGGCTGGTTATAATCTGTCACTCGGTCATGCACTACGGACACCACCAAACCGAATCTGTGCTATCTAGATTTTTTTGAAGTTCAACCTAGGATAGTCATGAATGAAAACAGATCCGCTCTTAAATAATTTATCGTTTCATTTTTTTGCATGCCTCATACAACTAAACAGAACCTCGGAGTCTTGAAAAATGCTCAACGTGTGTTTGTTGAGTTAAAAATTCTGGATTCTATACTATATGACGCTCAATTTATTTGGTACGATCCGAGGTAAATTAGCCCACCGAATTACGTCGTCAAAGAAATGGTCAAAATTGTTAAGAGGTAACTTGAATAAAGACCCTAGGTCGCCTGACAACTAAGGTCTATAGAAGAGCAGCCGAAAGGCTGCGAATAGAGAAGAACAACAAATCCTGTGGATTGCTGGCCTTATCTTCAAACTTAGCTAATCAGTTTTCACGCTTTTTGATGGAACAGACGACCCGGTCCGTCAAGCCAGTTGACCTGCATACTATTTGAGTCAATCACAGGTTATTCTAACAGTATCCAGTCACTGCCATTTGAACAAGCATATCCAACTACACGGCTTCTCTCAGTTAGATGTGAGAGATTCACCTGCCAGGTGAGTTGCGTTCACAGCTGCCTCACCAAACAGTACTGATAAATTATGGGAGCATCCGGTGGGCTTACACTGTGTTGAGCGAGCATGTGTGATCGGGCCAAAGGGACCAGATCCGAGAGAATCCAGGCAAAGGTGATGATTCTAAAATAGGGAGTGAAGAATTCCTTCCTCCATTTCCACATAAACGGAAACAGAAATCACTGCTCCAGTTTATTTGACGCTTGATTCCCTTGACACTCCCCTCGACAGTTTTCGATTCTTTTGTTTTTACTAGCAACTAACTATGCTTGATAACAGATGCATTGTTAGGAAGCGAGCGTTCGCACTACAAAGAGCGTTGAACTCAGTTTGAGGCTTATTGGCGCAAGAACGCATCTTGTCGCGGAAACAACGTGCTGTAGTTTGCGTGAATGTAATTATTCCCATCTGTCTTTCCACTATACGAGTAACGTGTGTGTGAGCTTCAGAACTTCGGTCCCAACCATGTATACTTTCGCAAGACATGGATTAGCTCACGCAGTTCAGAGAGATGCAACAAGGACCTGTTCAGTATCAGATCAGAATTCAAGGCAGAATAGGTCTTCAGAGACCAAATTGAACGGTCAGATGACGAATGAACAACCAACGGAGTTCAGAAATAACTAGACCGTGACTGAAATGAGGTGAGTGTGTCTAACTAGGTAGTTCGGCTTGTCGTACAGCTAAAGATGGTCATGTAACACTAAATTTTTTCGACATATCCAATAGTTCCTACGTTAAGCGTCCAGTACCCATCCTTCTACTGTTCGTTGTGCTACGATTATTTTCAAAGCCGTTCTTGGTGAGCTCGACGAATGTCCGTCTCATTTACTACTTTTCGCGACTCATCCCATTGTGGCTTTCCATTTGAAGTGTCCTGCCGTTCAATTTATGAGCTATAAACCATTTAGCACAGGCACATTGGTTCCAGCAGTTCGATCACCGGAAAGTGGGTGTGGACAGCATCGGAGGCGACAGCATGTTCAGTTACTTAGGGAACTGAGTAGCTATGTGTTGAAGACGATGGCTTTGATGTATGTCCGTCATTGATTGTGAGATTGAGCCATTTCTGCTGATGTCGTTAACCATTGGTCACGTGAGTCCCGGGGTCCCCATCAGGCGGACGGCAGTTGTCGACCCGACTCAGTTTACTGGTTAGAGTTTCCATACTTTGTTGCCAGGTCATACACTGTTCACATCTCGGTCGGTTCCACTCAGCACAGGCCTGGCCTACGTGACGTACATTACCTAACCAGCGTAACGTATGATAGCTAGGGGGAATTTTGATTTCAACTTCACCTCTAGTTCAGATGACGCTCGCGTCGAACACGTGATCGACTCATATCATGCCAGTGACGCACGATTACGGGATGAACGGAACATCCGTCACCGACTGAGCCGATCTCTATTCGTGGAGTTAGATTGGAAACGTGGGAATGACGCAATGTCATTAGAGGGACCTATCCGAACAAAAGATGGAGGAACTATATTGGTGGCTTCGTAAACCGAGGTTAACTGTCTCCTTCCCCGTTATGCTTTCTTGGGAGGGATAACTCTAGTAAGTTTATGGAAAAACCCGTCGAAGCGTTTTTTGAGCGAAATTAAGATTAATTGATCATCCATAATCTTAACAGAATTGCTCAGATTCAAGATCGTTCAATGAAGTATCAGTGAAACGAAGATTGAAATTGAAGATGCCTTGTTCTCTGAGAATGAATGAAAATCTATGGGTGAGCACAGACAAGCTTTTAAACCTGCAGATTAGTCCATGTTTTTGGGTTCCATGTCGATGGGCATTTGACATAATGTTAAGGAAGCTTTGAAACCAATCAGAGATTGCCAGGTTTTTCCGACTACCTCAAAAACTATGACCTAAAGGTGATAAGGAATGAGCTGCAAACCATATTGGAGACTGACTGGTGATCGGTTCAAACTGCGCTCCAGAAAGTAGAACTATAACAGTGTGGGAGGACTTCGTATGTGAAAAATCGTATTTTGTCGTAGATTGCGAATGTTGTCATGTGAACCACATAGGGACCATGCCGAGCCAGTTTGCGAATGAATGTATGCGGTGCCCGAGTTACACCAGGTATGACTAGCCTCACCTCGTGGGGATACCCTGATCCGAACTTTCACCTAAATAAGTTCCTACACCAGATCGTGCAATAAACTATGTAGGGGAAGGTTAAGGAAGGCATTATGCAGGTACGAGGCCGATGACTGGTGCTGAACGATAAGCGACCGTGCGGAAGAAATAATGGGCCCAGAAACCTTTCAATCTGCAACTGAACAAACAACACTCTCAGTTCACCGCAGCGCTGGCAGCAGGGTTCTTGTGAGTGCGTTGCACTGAACTGTACTTCAGCTGACCGTCGGATCATCTTCAGTTCACTATGTTTGTCTGGTTCCAAATAGATCTCGTGGTCACTGTTTAGCAGCAAAATTAAGTGTTTTCACTAGGAACACACGACAGACACCAGTCGATAGCCTAGTGGTAACCACAAGTGTTTTGTGTGCTTTCGCATACCAACAAGCGGCACAATTATTCCACAGCTCCAAGGTCACACACTTCGTCTGAGTTCGAAGAGGACCCACCACAAAGTGCAGGACTACTCCGTCCGCGTGACAAATACAAGTAGGGACATAGAAACCCACCTAGCCAAAGCTGATGTATGCAAAGTTTATCCAGGCCACCTAACGGACTTTGAAAAGAGCTAGGCGATGGCGGAACAACAAAAAGTTCTAGGGTATTTTCACACTGATTAGGATACGCTACGAAATAACTGACTAAAAGGCATTCCTCAAGGCAGTTCTGTGCACTGAGTATACTGAGCACACATTTCGTCATGGACCATCTGCCGGTCTCGGGCAGACACCAAGAATCAGAGCTATTTGTGTTAAAGCGGACTCACCTGAGCGAAGCGATCCCAAGCGAACCTCTGCATCAGAGCCCGCGTCAACCCAACACGTGCGGTAGACGCAGTCGCAAGACAATTTATTCGGTCAAATTGCGTGTGTCTGTCTCACACTCGTGTGCGCCGTAAGCACGGTCAACGTCCGGCTAACGCGCCACCCGAATGGGCCAATCAAAACTGGCTTGCCGAAGTCAGTAATCCTGCAATTGAACCGCTAGTGCAAGTCACTGACTTGTCACCTGCCGTCCACCTATCGGCAGAATGTACCGTGCGACAAAACCAAATGGTATTCTATCATGAAAATGAATTAGGAACCTGTTTTTCAATCACGCCTGTCATTTAATCCCAGAAGATTAAAAACACAGACACCCGAACCGATCATACCAAATACCAACAATGACCAACGAAACCGCCTGAGGGTTAAACAACAGAAAAACTAAAGATGGCTGCGACGAAAGTATGTGACCGCCGTTATTTTTTTTTATCTAAAGGTGTTTAGTGAACACGGATTGCTTTCACGTGGATATCACATCTACTTCAGGAAGAATCCGGCTGACAGTAAAGGGACGAGCTACACACTCCTACACAGATACTGACATCTTGGCAGCAACTAAGGTCTTCTGATTTTTATCTGTTGCACGACAGTTTTTGATGAAAAAAAAAACAAATATGATCATATTATTATCCGTCGTGGGGACATCGTCGTCCGGGCACTGCCGATGTAATCGACTGGTGATGAAGCGTTTGCAATCCAACTGCCAAGCTCGGCGAACAGACCAACAACCAAGCAGAGAAGAATCTTGGAGAGCAAGACAGTTGGTCAGGAAAATTGGAGTGGCCGAACATGAACGCTTTAAGAACTATATTTTGCCACGAAAAACAAGTGACCTGACTTTCGATGAAACCGTTGCTGTTTCATCGTCAATCTTCGGAGAACAGGCTTCCTTGGTCAGCCGTCGATTTCACTGTATGAATTTGAGCAAGAATGCTTTTGAAGGCTGGGATACATACGCCGGCAAAGTCAACAAGGAGTGTGAACGTTTCAACCTCCGAAGCATGACAGAGGATGAGTTCAAATGTCTTATATTTGTGTGCGGGTTGAGGTCTCCTGAAGACGCAGACATGAGAACAAGAATCCTCAGCAAGATTGAGCAGAACCCAGACGCCACACTACAGAATATTACGTCGGAATGCCAGCGCCTGATGAATCTGAAGCGTGATACAGTCATGGTACAAAAAAAGTGATCCCGGCAATACTGTTCATGCGATTCGGAAGCATACTGTCCCTCAGGGTGACAAGAAACCACCCTCGACATGCTGGAAATGTGGTGAGTGGCATTTCGTCAATTTTGGCCGTTCAGAAGACACCGCTGCAGCAGGTACTCCCGTATGGGACACAAAGAGGATCGGTGTCATGACGAGAGAAAGCAAGCACCCAGGAGGCATTCTCGAACTAGAACTTCCAATTCCATGCTTCCGAACGCTCGCATTGGTCTGGTTGCTCATCAAAGCCCACACGCAAACAGGAGGAAATACGTATCACTGCGTATTAACAGCAAACCTGTTCGTCTCCAGCTGGACACGGCATCAGACATTACGATCATCTAAAAAAGAACTTGGATATTCCTTGGCAGCCCAGCATTAACCAGGACCAAACAAGTTGCACGCAGTGCATCTGGAAGTTTGCTGAAACTCACTGGTGAGTTCAAATGTTCCATGACTCTTGATGGTATCAATGTAAGTGGCATCTGTCATGTGTCCGATCGTCCTGGATTGGATTTGTTAGGATTAGATTGGACTGACAAGCTAAAACCTTTCGACAGGCCACTGAATACTGTCTGTTACCAGACACAGACGACGAAAGCGAACATATTCAAAAAGCTGCCTGACTCGTTTTGGAAGAGGAACTCAGAAGGTCGCAGCCCGTGCACTAAGCTCTTATCGTACCACCCTCAATCAAATGTTCAATCTGAGAGATTTGTGAGTACTTTTCAGTGAGCACTGTTGAAATCTCGAGGGGAGGGACCAACGTATGATCTATCTCCAAAAGGGGGAATGTTCAGGGCGCGCCCGGACAGAAGAAAAAGTACATGTGCAGAGAGTGACGCATCCCCAAGCTCATCATCGGTTCGACACGTCCGGAAAGTAGGTGAGTTGGCGGCTCCCACCAAACACGGCCTAGTAACACACGACCAGCGTAGTGGGCCTGAGAGTGTTCACGACTGGAACACCACCATTGGCTGTATGGAGCGAACAAGTGAACGACCATATTTGGCCTATTAGTCATTCTATATATTTACGCAGACGCTCTGTATGTTTTGTCCTGGCAATAAAGCCGTGCCCCCAATTCTCTGTTTTCTCCCTATCGCGTAGTCTGGCAGGCTCAGTGCAGGCGTACCCAATAGCTCGGCCACCGTACGAATACAACAAAATGGTTGACGGAAACTCGGTGACTGTGCCTACCTGACGCGTTCCAAGAAAGGCGTAACAGGTCAAGTGGGCTGTCGAATAGTTATCAGCAACCTTGTGAGCAGTTTCCTTTATGAAAATGGACGAACTATTTCATGCCCGTCTACGTTTAAAATTGTCCTTTAGACCACAACTTTTCCATTATTAGATGCTGTCTTTTATTAACCAGCGTTAGTGAAAATTGCTTCATAGATGACAGCTAGGAGTAGAAATAATAAAAACGAAAAGCGCTGTAAGTGATGAAATGACATCATGTTATCGAGAAACACAATCATTTGCAAGTCAGTTTGGTTTTCACGAAAGACTCAACTAAATCTCTCGTTTATGATATTCTGCAACAGAATGTGCTGCACACAGGCCGCCTCATGTTTCAGTTGGCACGATATTCGAGATATCGCAGTATATTTTCTTAAAGGAAACTCGGGGACTGCACCTACCTGATGAGACCCAAGAGGGGCGAAACCGGTCGTGGGCCGGTCGTGTGGGTTGAATAGGTTTCAGCAACCTTGTGAGTAGTTTCCTTTACGACATCATGTTACTTATAGACTCTTGGCGGTGGTCCTGAAGAGCAGATCAACTTAGAAAGTTCACTTTGCTAACCTCTACATTTACGACAAGACTGCAAACACTTGTTCCATGCACTGTTCCTATCTTTCTCCACATTTTTCGAACCATCATCGTCTCCTTCGTCATTCTCCTTAGTGGTGCAGGTATCCTGGGCAGAAGTATCAATTGTCACCATCAACACCATATTCCTGTAAAAGCATTGGCTTATTTGAAGCGAACCTGACCTGAGACGAATATCATCAATCAAAAACATTTAAAAGTAGGTATCATTAGACTGGTGGAATGATTCTAATTGCTGACGTTGCATGGAAGTGCCGAGAACTGCTCAACCCTTCTAATTATTCGTTCAGTGCCCAAATCGAGACTCCCAAGTGTCACTCCGACAGTCCTTATCACGGATGAAATGACGGTCTAGGCTGGATATCCAACTCAAAAGTGCGCTTTCCATTTAAGGATCTGATTTTAAAATAATAAAGTGACGTTAGGATAGCTGGCTATTTATAAACGTCCATTAAAACAGCAAAATGCCTTGCAGTGCACGTCACACCCTGCGGCAATTACCCCTCTCTAATGACCACTTTTCGTTGGTCCAACCTTTAAAAAATGAATTATTCTATTATTGTTAGGAACGATTGGGACAACTTGATATCCAGTATTGCTTCCTCCTAACAAGTTGACGGTAAACGTAACTGTTACATGAGATCATTACCTAAACTCTTGGCAATTGTCAGGTTACAGCAGTCCGTTGAATGTTCATCCCTCTAGGGAGACTATTATGAATCGGTCTCAGTAGGGGTAGTAGTTTGTTCTACTTACAGTAACAGTTGTACGCAGTAAAGACAAAACTATATCACCTAGCTTCAGCCAGGGAGATGAAATCAATGGATGGCGTATCAGTCTGGTGCGTTGTGTTCTTCCCCTGCTTCAGGCTCTGTCGTCTGCTGTCAATGGCTAAAGGGTTCGCGGCTGATTTGCATCTGCTCTTCATGCGTTTGCCATGTTGTGGGCAAAGGGTTTGCACTTGGAATCACATTGGCCTTCACACAAACCGCCAGTGTTTCTAAATTACAAACAGGCTTCTCTTTTAACCAGAAAATCCAATTCGTACGCCATGCACTTATGGTGTGGAGGATGTTGGGAAACAAATTTATTCATTTGTACCATGTCCGTTTGTTCAGCACAGACTGCTTGTCGTACATGATGCCGTCAGTAGTCCTTGCGAATATCCCATTGCATTCTATTAACCCTCATGCGAATGTAGGCTTAAACGCTCTATGCTACTGTCACACACAAGTCCTTACACCGGTAACTTTTTCATATCGCTAAAAAACAGGATACAAAAATAGAAAGCTTCGTCATTCCGCTGACGCTCTGCAGACTTTCCTTATCCGCACCGGTCCTATCAAGTAGGTGTGTAAACTCTTAGGTTAGATTACTGAGTGAAAAAAAAACATTCCAGATCACTGCTTTGAAACGGTAAGATTAGTGTGGGGTTGGAATGTTGAGTCCAAAATTGAAAATAACACATAGTTCATACAGAGTTACACGAAACAGTACAACTCAGCCATACAGAAATTCTCCAAAGCGGTAGCTGAATATTTCAACAACTGTTGACCTTCACAGGGGAATTCTTAGTTGGTCCTCTCCTAACATAATCTCTTTTTTAACTTTGGTCCTTCACATCCAAAGTGACCATTCTATGTTCTACCCCTAGCACAGGACAATAAAATGTACTGCTATAAAGTAATGGGGGCGAGGTGGCCCAAACGGTTAGAGCGCAAATTTAATGACCAGAAGGTTCGAGTTCGAACCCGACCTTTGCCTCTCGACTTCTCCTCTCTAGGCTTGGGATACCTGGCAGTATTCCGGCCCTCGCGCAACCTTCGGGTGGCATGGCAGTTAGGCACCGAAAAGGTGCAACAGCCGATCGATTTTTATAAAGCAATGACTGCAGTATAATTAAGACCGGAATTTACTACGTCGACCCAAAACGTGACACGCGAAC